GGCAGCCTTAGCGGTGCACGAGATGCGATGACGATGTAAGTGTCGTTGCATTATAATGTTTTTGTTAGCCTATCCAGTTGAAGCCACTAGATGCGGCGCTGCTGCGTTGTTCATTACAAATATAGCGGGAAAAGAGAACATCAATGCGGAGAAGATCATGCTTACGTCAAAACTGAAACCAAGCCGTTCACACAGAACGCATATTTCGCGTATTTTCTAGAGGGACGAGCAATGCATATTACTAATCAAAAATTAAGTTTTGATATATTTACGGTAGGAAATTTACAAAATATCTTCATGGAACATGATCTTTACGTAATATTCTAATGATTTTTGGCATGAAAGAAAAATCGATAATTTTGACCCATACAGTGTTTTTTTGGCTGTTGCTAAAAAAATACCCAACCGTCTTAACGGTCACATATGTGATCAATTTAAAATATGTTCTTTACACTGATCTATAATCGTGATATTATATAGATCAGTGGTTCTGTGATTTATATGAAATATAATCTTGTCCAAGATGGTCGTTTGGACAGTATGTGTCTTAGAAGGCACCACCTACACTGACTATCTGATGTATATTATACACAAACATGGCAGGATCGGTCTGAAAGTGCTAGTTCCAGTCAGTCCCAGTCGACTTTATGCAACTTGAGGGCGCTGGGGTGCACCAGTCTGCCTGGAAAATCATATTTACAAGATACCAGGCTGATACAGTGACAGCAGAACTGTGGTGGGAGAACTAATGACTGGATTTGCAGAACGACAGGATGTCGTTATTAAACTTTGAAGTAAATGTCCACAAATAGAAGTGTATATTCTGCTTTATTGTTTGATTGACGTGTTAAGTTTTGTTGTGTAAAAGCACAACAAACTGTGATTGGTCAGTTTTCATGTCGGTGAGACAGATGGTTCAAAAACACAGTCAAAACAAAAGATTGGTCTTTAAAAGTACTTCTGTAGAAATTAGACAATTTAATATATTACTAGTGGAATGTTTCAGCATTTTTATTAAACATGCCAGTAACTTCAAAAGTTAGAAAACAAGGTAGTCAGAACACACATTTTTTAACTTGCCACCAAATAGGCAGAAGTCAAGTTTGCCTCTTTTGGGATTGTACATTGAAAATATTATAATATTTGTTATTTAATTTGTTATTATGTATCATTTTTTTGGACTTCGATATCTCAGGTGTATTGAATAACAATGTTTTATAGACATCTTTTGGGCTGTACAAACTTTATTTGATCCCATACAGCAATTTTCAGATATATTTTTCAATATAAAAATAAACTAAATGTCTAAAATCACTAAAATGTCTAAAAATATATTTAATATTTTCTGCAAATATATGTGTATATTTAAACAAATTTTTTTTTTAAGTATTTCAAACATACTTAGTGCTACATAAAAAATACATTTGTTGTCTATAACACATAAAAATAATGAATAACGCCTAAATGTAGGCTACTGTAAGATTGGAAATTTATTTTATTGTCCTAGAAATGCATTTAGAACTATATTTTAGTATATAAAGTAAAAAAAAAAAAACTTATTTTAAATTTCAAAAATATATTTCATTGAACCTCACAGCATAAATTTAGCATATACAGTCATTAAAATACAATTGTGTATATATGCAATATGCACGTTTTAGGAGTTAACTTGCTGTAATTTCTCGTTTCTCTTCAGAGGCAAGACTCTTCTCCCAATGCCGTGTACAGTCTGCATGCTGTATGTGAGAGCAGCAATCGTTCATATGTGGCAGCCGTATTTTTCTGCCTGCTGGTGTTGAGGAAACAACAAATCCTCAACCTGCACCAGAGCGCCCCATACAGTGACGTCATGGCCGATTTGTATCGTGAAAAGCGCTGTACAAATAATCTTGAATTGAATTGAATTGAATAAAACCTGTAACTTCATCATACACAATAAAAATAGATAAAAAAAAAAAACTTATTTTAAATTTCAAAAATATATTTCATTGAACCTCACAGCATAAATTTAGCATATACAGTCATTAAAATATATTTTGGCCAGGAAAACAATTGTGTATATATGCAATATGCACGTTTTAGGAGTTAACTTGCTGTAATTTCTCGTTTCTCTTCAGAGACAAGACTCTTCTCCCAATGCCGTGTACAGTCTGCATGCTTTATGTGAGAGCAGCAATCGTTCATATGTGGCAGCCGTATTTTTCTGCCTGCTGGTGTTGAGGAAACAACAAATCCTCAACCTGCACCAGAGCGCCCCATACAGTGACGTCATGGCCACACCTGGGCCTCTCTTTTCCTCCTTCTAGAACAGCCATGAAGCAACGGAGGGTAACCCTTTAGAGACCTTAGAGCTCATTAAAGTGCTTTGCAGTGTCATACACGTTCTTGGTTGGAAGCAAATTTGATGGATTTCTGTAAATATTTAGACATTGGGTTATAAATTCCCATAGAGACCTGCTAAAAAATGTGTCTGATCTATGAAATGTGTCTGTATAGTGTTATACTGTTTCTTAAAAATATATAGTATATATATATATATAATACTCAGATCTGTATGAGCTGGGCTATGGTTAAAAATTACCGTAGAGCAGCACACAAAATATCAAATGGTCATTAATATGATTGTTTCAGTTTAACCAATTTCATGAACTAAATTAACTAAATCTTTGTTCATTACTTGAAAAGTCAGTTGGCATGGATTGAAACTCAAGCCTGAATAGGTCTTCGTCTTACAGTTTAATGTAATAATAGGTACGTTCCAAAAACTGTTCTTCTCTGTGTTGATTAATATGACCTGTATGTTCTTTTTACCCAATCCTTGAGACCATTAAATGTACAAATCAAATAAATATTGCAAAACCAAATAATAATAATAATAATAATAATAAGTTACTGTTTCTCTTGTTCCAAAAAAACTTTCACAAACTCTAAAGGAAAACTTTAGAAGGATGTTCTGGGTGCTCTTGTAAAATGTGTGAATAAGGAATGATGCTATATTTAGCTCTGATAGTGTAAGAATAATTTTCATATTTTTAGTAGTATTTCAAGATGAACTTACTGGACTGAAGCAACTTAGGTTTACTTAATTATCCATACATTTTTTTATGGTCTTGTTAAAATATACGATAAATCAGGCTAAGGACGTTTATTTGTTCATCTCTCATCATTGCACTGCATTAT